AAGAAAACCCTACATTCTCCCACTGCCTCGTGGGTCAGACTTTTGAGTCAGAGGCTCAAGGTGGGGTACCTCAACCAAACCCACTTCCTCGGCCTGGGCAACCGGGAAGTATCATTTGCCCGCGCAGTTCAGCGTCCACCGATGTCCCTCCCCAACCCCTTCCCACTGCAAACGTCGCTGAACCATTTGACTGTCAGACAGTAAGTCTTAGGCAACAGAAAATAAAATCCGCCCTTAGCAAATGCTTAGCCTCAATTGCAGCTTTTCCCTAAATGAAGCACATTGCTCGACGTTAAAAATTAGCTAACTGGAGACGCGCTGATCGGTCGGCAGCATAATGAAGCATAAAGAACTTCTAACTGGTTGATGGCTTGAAAGCTAGTTGAATTTCAAATGAGGTTGGTGGTACTGCTTAACAGACAAGTCGGAAAACGTGCTGCACCCTAATTGTGTTCACCTACTGCGTGTAACGGGGGTGATAACTTATCCTACTAAACTTCTAGTAATATCCGGCAATCATTAAGGATATATATATATGTGCTATCAAACTGAGACTGACTGATGACGGCCTACAGGTCTCTAGGAGAGTGCCTGCCGACCATTCTCATTCGAGTTCCATCAACAGTAACACGCAAACCTTTTGTTGCCATAGCTATGCGCAATCAACAACATATGTATCAAATATCAGCTAACCGTATCCTATGCTCTCCACACATGCTTACCGAATGAATTAATCAAAACCTGTGACCACCACGAACTGTTTTAATATTCCAACAAGTTGAATATGAACTTCCACTTCATTTCATTTTCTCTTAAGACCACCGTTCACCAGCTCGGACCCCATGCGAACTTACAGCATTATTTTGAAGGGAATCAACGCAATTGAGTTCCCAAAAAGCATCACTCGGAATGCCCAATGCCTGATCAAAAGATTATGCAGGTAAGCCAAACTCTCAATGTGCCTATGTTTCACATGGGAGTGATAATGGAAATGTGAACTTTAATCGGGTAAAATGTGATCAGTGAATAGGCCTGGGTTCGCTTGCAGTTGGTGTGCTGTGTTGTCTCATCGGATCCTGGCTACACCGGACAGTCCCACTAATGAAACTATTAACAGGTGTCCAACGATAGGTTGCAGATGATGGGTGATCAATTCTGGATACAGGAATATCATTTTACTGCATGTTTCTGCCTGGAAACAACTCAAAATTATTAATGCTTCTAAACCATAAGTTAGACTAATTGCCAATCATCAAAGTGTCTAATAATTCCACAGCTTTGTTTTCGAAATGATGAACAGATCCAACCCGTTATTGTAAAGTGAGTTGAAATAGCTCCCCAGAGGATGTTGGCTGAAACGTTTTGATATAAAATTTGGAAACGAAAGTGCGGTTCTACCAAGGTAGCCAAATTGCGGTCATTAATGGAAACGCATTACACCGTGCTCGTTTTGCAACTCACTGCGAAATTAGAGGACATGTTCGCAGTTACAAGCAAATGATGAGAAATTAATTCAGTACTCTCTGAAGACCGCATATCCTCTGAACCGGTTGAAGTCCTGCTCTTTTGCAGAACACATTCACCTCAAGCCTTGACGAAATGGGATGGAGACGAACAGGTGTGATCTCAATGATTAACTTGTAAAAAAGAGGTATTTTCAATTAGAACGTGCAAGTTCACTGCGTAATCCGAAAACGATCTACAATAGGAACCACAACTTCCACCTGCCCGAAATTTTGTTTGCTCTCTTTGTAGCATCATGTAGACCAACGTTTGGCGTGTTTCCAAAAATTACTTCAGCGTGTCTGCCCTTTGGGGGTTTCATTCCTTCCAATGACAGAAACTCCCGTCTCAATTGTTCAAGTGTACACTTACCATTTTTCGATAGGCTTCGCACTTCAATTTTGCTGACGCCACAGCTGCTGGCCACAAAGCCAGTTGACTTTCAGTTATTTTTTGAGGTGACTACTCTGAGGTTCTCCATTGTGAGGTCACAGCACTTGAGGTTCTACTTGGCTATTGTGATCACAATGAAGGCTTCAAAGCGTAAACAAAAGCGCACTCTAGCGCGTATCTCGAATTCCTGAGAATTAGAGAAAAACCAACCGACGATCTCGACATGTGCGCCGTTGCCGTTGTCCTCATTTTAGGCGATCAAAGAGGGCGTCATCATCTTCAGTGATAGTAAAGTTTCAATACCTTAGACGGGTGTAGGCATATGTGAAAGGCACAGACAGGCCGGTAATGGGCATCGAACGGTAGCGCCTTTACAGGACTGGAATGTTAGCGGGCAATGGATTCAAAGTGAGAAGTAGGCATATGCGACTGTAAAGGCATCTTCTAAAGCCCCAGAACAAACAGGGGGGCTCACCTTGGAGTCGCCCCTCTTGGAAGATAGTATATCACTCATAATGTGAAGTACTGAGAGAACAGGCTCCAGTATCGAAATTATTATATTCAGGTGTATTGCCAAAGTGTCCCTAGTTGAAAGCGGCTTGCGTTTCCGAGATATTTTTAATTCGTAAATCCTGTCACACTGAATAAGATAAAATATCTAACGGCGAGAGCCCCAACATTTTTCAGATTTTCGCGGGAACTAGAGATCGACGAAGATTGAAGAAAACCAGATCGAGGAAACTGAGAAAACAAACCGATGGATTCGCAGGGAAAATAGCGATCTTGTCGATTGTGTTCGACAGTACTACATTCTGTCAGTAAAGTTTGGCGAGATTCTGAAGTATCGTTTGCCTGATTTATGCAAAACTTGTCGCCCACCACTCACGAGCATAACGTTGGGACTTATTTTGCTGGTACCTGGCTAAACAAACAAACTAAGAACGGTTTGCTGTAATACTGATTCGCCATATACTCTACTTCAGCGCTCCGCGCAATTGATGTAGCGTAGGAAGTCAACAATTCATATTTGCCCTCTGATGTTTGCACGTGATTCAGAATGATTCTACCAACTGTAGGTTGAATTTCATACTCAACGAAAGAGTGGAGTAGAGAAGATATGCCATACGAAAATCAACACGCACATATTGGACATTGTGAGATCTGCTTTCGTTTAGACATAACCCGCACAAGTAGTGCCACCATATTGTTAAAAATTGCAAGTTGAAAATAATATCCTGTCTATAGGTCCAAGGGGGCCAAGTTTGTAGGTCTGAGGAGTGAGGGAAAGTTCCTCTTTGACTTAGATCATTTGTGCTGCGTCCTCGAGTATCACTCAGGATGAGAGTTCCAACCAATGCCGCTATCACTCGTTGTCTAAAGATGTTATCTAAGGACAAATTAAGATGCCGTGGACTCTCGATCACTCGGAGATGTCGTAATCCTGGTAAAAACATGCCCTAACCGTGAACTCTGATGAGACGCCCCAATGCAGCTATAAAACGGCTCCTTGTATCTTTCATGTCTAGTGTTTACCTTATTAAATTGCTACGCGGTGAGGGATCGCTTAAGTTTCAGAGTCGCTATCTTGTGTGATACCAGAGAAGCGGCGTAAAAATCCCAACCGCCTGTATGCTACTTGGAGCAGAGCAGTAGTGCCACGCCATAGAAAAATTCAGCTGCTCACAACTGTCTGATGCGGTAGATTAATTTGTACCAGTGGCCTTCAGTCATTTTTCGACTTCTTTTCTGAAACTAAGCTACAAAACCAAATTAAATTAAATTAAACTAAGTTAACCAAACTGGCTTAGCTTTTTCCACCGAACGGTTAGATGTACGTAGCTCAGTAGTGTGGTGCTGTTTGTGATAACGGAGTGGAACACAAGAGTGAAGCACCAGGGTACCAATCACACAGCCATAAAAAAGTGAAAATTTTATATGGTATAACCCAGTCGATTCACAGTATGCAGACAAGATGCACAAGATCCCCGTATCCTTGGGGAAATGCTCTTGATAAGTTCACAGTGAGCTGAATGAAATTATGAGTCGCATTATAACCGCCACAAGAGTGACTCCGACCAGAAGGAAGACTAACACCCGAGAACCCGGAGCAAAATCCACCCACCAGAACTTCATAAGCACTGTCATCTTTCAAGAAGCCGTTCCAGCCTCTCTAACAAGCCCAGTAATTTGTCTCCAGGACGTGATTTAAGACTCTAGAAACAGGTCATGAACCCCAAAGAATTTAGGGAAATAAAGCTTTGAGAGTTGGATGGTATGGAACGCAAGCGAACGACGGCTTCCAAACTAGCAGAACAAAAGAACAATACAAGTTTGAAACGTTACTGTTACTAAACAGTAGATATTGAACTAATCCTTACTTTGAAGTATATGACACAATTTCAGTGTCTTCTTTTATCTGTGGCTCTTTTGGTTCATCGAATATTTGTAACCATGTACATACAGTTTTCCTTCAACTTTTATCGATCACTTACTGGTTTTAATGAACGGAAGCTGATTCCTGTGTGGTAACTACTTTGAAGGTATTTTGGATGATACTCCGCGTTTTTTTTCACCAGTCTACGTTGATTAGAGGAAGGTGTCGCTTGTATTGAGAACATGTTAAGCATGAACGTACGATTAAAAACTAGATTAAAATAGGTCGAAGACCAAAAGTGACGTTCGTATCACTGAATAACTCAGACAGCTTTCTTTGAAGCAAAATGAAAACATTAGTGGCCGTTCCACTACGTTCAGAACAATAGTTTGTTCGCAAAAAATTACTTAAAGAAGCTGTCACAAACTTCTCGATTAAATCGTTCAAAGTACTGGAAATGCAAGTGAACACTCCTTGAGAGGTAGAAAACCCTTCTTCTCATGGTCGTCAACCACCAGTCTAACCTGGACAGGATGCTCCCGAATTATGCCATAGTTGAAACACTCTTGCAAGACGATATCTAAATAATTGGCAACAGATTTCACAGAAACCCCACACAACTAAATACGACTTGAGCAGTCGGTCAACTTATTTGGGAAACGATCAAATACACTGCAGACTGTAGTTTTGTTCATTTTCTAAGGGAATGCCCAACCGAACGCCTTGGAATGCGTAAAGGAGGGATAGCAGATTTGCGAAAGCACGTATGGTACGAGGGATTTAACTGGAGTGGTCTGCTTGCAAGAACGCTGACGGCGCCAATTCAACCCAAGGTGAGTGTTCGTCGTCAAGTAGGAAAAATACCACATCATTCCGAATTTAGTGGACTCAATCCTTGATATTGCGAACACTGTGATATGGCTTGAAAAACTCAGTCAAGTGGGGTATGCCGCCGTAAATGGCACTCATCAGCTGGACGTGGATGGTTGACCAAGTGGCCTTCTTGCGCCCAGTTCTACCCTGTGGCCAACTTTTGGCAGATCGCGAAATCTGCTGGTTAAAAGTAATAAGGGTCATGTTGTCCGCAGCTACTCAAGTATAATTGCGAACAGGGATGAACGAAGGTACAAGATGGTCCCTGTTGACAGTGAGCTGCATGTATTGGACGGAGTTCTTTCGTTGGCGTGTGATGGAGCAGAGGAGACCAGTCAAATGAATGACAAGTTAGGTAACATGGACTTTTTATTTTGGTGACTGGTTGCTTCGTCCTGGGACATTACATGGGGAAAACCATTTCCTTAAAATTTTTATCCGAAACACCACTGAGGAACAGTACTCTCCGATATGCAGTCCTCTCCGGTTTGCAAAATTAGAGCATGCACCTCTCCTTCGTCTGTGATTCTCTTAACACTGGATTCACGACCTCCTTCGCTTTTGTTCCGGAAAGCACTACTACCCAAGACTGCAATAGTGAATGTATTGAAAGCTCCTGGTTGGACTTGCTGGTTTATCTCAGTTTTTCACTGATACCTTTCTTTGCATACATTTTATTGTTGATAATTTGATAAATATGGGCCATCCGGTGATAGAATTAAGACTTCACTCTAACCCTCCAGTCTTATCCCCTTGGATTTACAGTTGATAGATTTTCAAGTCAATGCACATGCCAGATTAGCGTAAACCGAATATCATAGTGCTCGTTTTGCAATGGAGAATATCGGTATGGCTCGACGTCACAGACGAATCTAGACAGATACTGACCCAATTAACTCAAATCCAGACTTTGGGATATTTCAATAGCTCCGATAATGTGAACAGAAAGTGCACAATCCGTATTTTATTCCGTTTTTTAGGTATCGTCACCAACAGATATTTCAAATTTCGATCGATACAATGATGATGATGAACCGGTGCAAGAGGAGGAAAACGACTGGGACCCGGATTTTTAAATACGTTGTTTTTCATTATTTGGGTTCTCACGAGACTACCTATTTTGGAATAAATGTTTTTTGAAGCTCCGGTGCACTGTGACCGCCATAAAAATGCATTACCAGGATTAATTACTTCATTGAAGTAAGAGATGGTAGATCAGGTTGCATGGTTCGTTGATGTATTCGCTGAACTTAGCAATTAAGTTGTTTGAGGAATGACATTGCCGTTGACAACACTAGTCGGACAAAGCGAGTAGCGTGTGAGATGGTTTAGCCAGTAAAGAAGTGGGGATTAAGTTGTTTCAAGCACCTTCTATTGAATATGCGATGGTTCTCTGTTTGCCTCCAACCTCACCAATCGAACGTAATCACTAGGCAATTTTCGAACATATGGTCTGTAGTTGTTTTTAATCAGTTGGGGAAAGGTTTGGAACCAATGGAAAAATCATCGCTTCATCAAGACAAAAAACACCTGTTAAGAATTATTTTTAAGCACTTAATGGCCGCCCGCATGCAGCGGAGACACGCAGGGTTTTCTTCAGTATATTCAACCTGGCACATTATCTATCATCCTTCTCACATGGCGTACCTAAAGCTCTGAGAAAAAAAGACGAACGCCTAACAAATGTCCAAAAGAAAAACACTTCGTGATCAAACATTTTATATCTTTCGAAAGCAGTACGTTGAGGGTCACCTGTGCCCGAGGCGCCAAGCAACAATCCGAATAGTTATACTATGCGGTACGGATGACGTCGAAGTTCACAAAATGGGATCAACCGCCATGCGCGCAGAGAGCTGTTCGTGAACCCAGTCAGGATGAGCTGCTTCAATTCCTTCGACGATTCGATTCACCGATGTACATAAACTATTTATCTGACCACTCCAAGAAGCTAGAACAGGGTCTTCGCCAGAAGTGGGGACTGTAAAAAGAACACAGAAACGAAAGATTTCAGTCATAAAGTGAGGGAAATGAAGCATACTATTGGTGAAACTCTTCAAAACGGTCCTATTGAATTTTCCTCAAATTTCTAATACTACTTAGGAAAAAGTTAGAATCAGAACGAGATATACAAACCAACTCCATACGGATTCAGTTCAGTTCGGTTCAGTCAGTCAGCTATGAACTACGTGCAAGAAAGCGCAAATTCTAGCTGCTAGAATTTCGGTTGCCGGAATATGGGAGAGCAGGGAAGACACAGCTAAATATTGGAGGCGACGGCATAATCTGCAACTGCGCAAAGCGGGACTATTTAGAGTTACTTCGGGCTCCTGATAGGTTTTACGCGTATTTCGAAGGTGTTGAATGATTCGCCGGTGGTCCCGGTCAACCGTTTGACGATGGGAATTTGAGGATTTTAGAGCCGAACATTTCCAACGCATCCTTCCTCAGGGGGGTGGGGAAGCAGCACATCTGTTTCCATAAATATGAACACACTAATTGCGTGGAGAAAACAATTTACCGCATTCATACATCTACCGTGGAGGATGGTGCGACTTTACCTCCATCCCGTGGTATGAGGACTCGTTGCTCTTCGTCCGGCTGCTTTTCTCGAGCCTTCCTGGTTTGGTTGCACCTTGCGGAACGGAGTTCCGGCAACCATGGCCAGCGGAAGCACTGCGGCACTCAAACCCGGACGCCACGTCAAGGTGGCAGTTTTTGGTCTGACACGCATTTCAGAACAGAATGTTATTAAAGTTTGGCAATTTTTCCCAAATAATTTACCCCCTGTCAATTCAGAAACATTCAAATTGGAATACTGATCCTCAGTCCATTCAATTTTCCGGTAAAAATCAACCTTACTCTAAGGGCATCTGGGTGGTAGTCATGTTGAATTGATAGCAGAAATAGCTAATAGAAATGAACTTCTCTCATTCAAAGTAATTCATTTGGCACTCTGATGTACTTTTTATGAAAGTATGATGATAAGATATTTTTTATGAAAGTATGAAGATATATAATAGTATATAATATATAATATACTATATATTATATAATAATGATATAATGATAATATATAGTGTAAAGTTTGTAGTTAGTAGTTCATAGATGGTACCTTGAAAAATCACGTGTCCGACCCCCCCACACACACACATTTGAGTTTCAATGAAAACGAAGGCACTTGCGTGGCTAAGCGGAAGTTAGTTCATTAACTATTACCGATAGATATGCTGCTAGCAAAGTTGGCTGCGACGGGCAACGAAAACCCCTTGGCAACAGCTGTAGACCATACAGACTCTACCACAAATCTCAACACTTTCGGCGGCTGAGATATTCTGGTGTACTCACTCAATCTCGTAGCAGCACTTTCAGCATTGAAAACACAAAACATATACCAAATCGCATGGTCGGTTGATATTAGGGTGGTTCTGACTGGGCGCTGAAAGTTTGGTTCAACGGACTTTCTTGATTGTGAACGTCACGTGAAGGAGATACAGCAGCATTAAAAAAGGATTTAATGAGTAAAGTTGGATAGAATCTCGCACTTTTACCTTTGAAATGAATAGCTCCGTCGATCTGGTCGATTTGCCCCATCAACCTGTCTTCAGTGATCATCTGGGATGCGACGGCTTCAGCCTGAAAAGTACATGCGGAAGCCCACAATTTGTGCCATTCTGGGGGATAACACAACTCGAAGACAAAACTTTAGGCTCCAAAGGGAAAATGAGGGGCTTCCCTGCCTCCGAAAAAAGGGTCTTCCTGTTCCGATAGTTTGATTCCAAAAGCAAGAAAACGTGAACATCCCAAAGTTGATTGTCGGAATTCGTGTGACGCGTATTGATGGCAAAACAACTATGGCGTGCATTCCGGTTTTTCGGATAAAGTAAACATTGACTTTCTATAATACACATTTTATGTGTCCATAAACCTTGCATGACCCAAAAACACCGCAATGTATGCGAACAGCTTGAGTAAGCAAGGGCTTTAGACCACCCAGGAATAGTAACATAAATTAAACCACCAACAAACGGGATGGGCTGTAACTCATTTGCGAACCCAACACCAGACCCTGGTATTAACCAGAGGCTCAACAGGATCTCTCACTAACACCAACATAAGTTGCAAATGAACGTATCTCGCCACTTGCACACAATTTGGTGTTCAAGTAGAACATTGGGTTGGTGAAAACTCATGAACTACGTTTAGCCGATGAACCACAAAAAACGAAACCGGTAGTAGCCTGCCACAGTTTCCGCCGGCTTCCTTGTAAGTAGCATGCCATGACAAGAACGGTATTTAATGCGCGGATGACCTTCACATTCAGAGATGACAATCTGCGTACCAATCCAGGAGCAAATGATAAGAAGTTGTACTTTCGGGCTGCATTAGGCGTCTTGGTACGTACAGCATAGTATAGGATAACCCAATTACTCCGAACAAATAAACATGTCAGGGGGAATAACGCACCGAAACCACTTCACAACCGCAGTTAGGCGCTGCTACTGCCAAGAGGCTTACCCCGCACGCAACTGCTCAGAAGATCGAGCCAATGCAGTATCAAGACGAGCTCTGATTGGCCAACGCTGTGGACCCAACAGCCGAAAATGGACCAGTGTCCGCCGAATGCCACTTGACAATGATGGCCCATCCAGGATTTTCAATGTTTTCGCCGCATGCACTTTAAGTACGACGGGCTGTGCCTGTGTTATGCTCTGGTTTTGGGCATCAACACACGTTTCGGTGAAAACGCTAGCTTGGAAGGTTCAGACCAAGAAGTAAGCTGAGGAATTACTGCCATTACGAAACTATCCTTCCGACCGCAGTGCAAAAACTGATAGGACTCACTTCCGTTGCTGTAATTTCCAAAAGGTCGCCCAAATTGGCTAGACTGATGTTGTTGTAGATTAAGCTGGCTGCAAGCATGTTGTGCTCAACTACAGCACGCTCCAACAGTTCTTGTATCGAGTGGCTGGTGGTATTCGGAGGTTTCGATCCAGCTGATACCGTTGCACTAGCAGCTGGCGGGGGGTGGAGCAGATGGGGATAGAACTTTTCGAACAGCGGTCCAAGGGTGCGCAAAGAGCACCGTTTGATAAGTCGACCCATGTACCTAAATGAGGTGAAATTAAGATTTAACCACACGAAAGCGGCATGTCGAACATTTTTATACCCTATAGATCCGTTACAAGGGTACCCCACATAATGGTATCTTGCAATCCTGAAGCGAACTCAGTGACAAAGACAGCATATTAAAAACCAGTAGGACTAATATACCAACAGCTATAACGTGGTGCCGGATTTACAACATACGTATCCCATTCGGAATTGGAATTCTTAAGCAATGTTCTTTAATCAGCTGACTCACATCTTCTCTAATATAGGATAAGCTTCGAAGGCTTGACAACGTTCATCTTTGTACAGCGTAGCCAAAAGACGAGTGCGCTGGTGCCCGGCACTGGCCAACAGGGCAGCCGCTAATGCACGTTCCAAAAATGATACGCGTTCGGCTTCATCCATCCAGGGAAAACGGATCGACAATTCAGCATAACGCTGACCAGCTTCAAGGAATCTGTGTTTGTGATCCAGTAAGTGAGCGTACGCAGTCTGTGAGAAGGATGAGGGAGAATATGAGGGGTGCAACAGTAATACCAGTGAAAGCAAGGAGGCCTCCTCTGCGGAGTCATTTATTAGAAGATGCTAGCTGAACAGTTACAGATTATTGGACAGGGAAGCATCTTATTTATAGAAACTGAATATCCATCTTCTCTTTGAACGCATCTTTCTGAACTTTCCTCGATATTCACTGACTGTTGCTCAAATCCAAGCAAATGCTACAAAGCGACTCCCCGAATTCCACGACAGATCTCCCTTTTCAAGAGACGCAAAGCGAATTTACAAGAAAACATACTGCTCACATGCCGCCCTCATCAGTAGTATCACCGTTATATCAGTAAGTGATGAGAAAAAAATACTAAAACAACTTCAGCTGCGATACCATCTCAGTGCATTGCTGTCATGCAATCCAGAGGAAGCCAGAGCTGAGATACTGCCAGACTGCCCAAGCAGAGGCAGGGGTGTTCCATGTTACTGCCAGTTGCGGTAGACAGTCTGTGGCACCAAGGCATATTCGTTCGCTCACCGTGTGGCCAACTAACTCAGTATTGTGACGTTGGTTCATGTGCAGTGCGCTGCCCTCATTGCAGCCAACAGTTGCCAGAACATCCACGAGATGAGCTGCAGTATCACCCGCGAATCAAGTCCCATAAATCGACTTCTCAGTTACTTTCAGACAATCGGTTAGAATCCGAATGGCTATTCACATAAACTTGAGGATATCTTCAGAAAACATTGTATTCCTCCGGCTTTTGTTGTGTTAGTCCTATCGACTTTGTTTACCATAATCGGACGGTCAGAGTAAACAGTAAATCAAACTGGAAGCGTATAATATAGGGGGTCTCCCGCTGAGGATCCGAGAGACCATCACTTCTACGTCGTACCTGATTACCTGGACTTTGCTGGCAGATGACAGACACACTGCGTTTCGAAGTGGTGAGCGTGGGAATTAAATGAGTTGCGTGTCCCAGCAGGAACCCAAATGTCACACTACTCCACTGCTCCGCAATTCATATTCCTTCAGTTAAGAGCTCAGAAAAAGTGAATGATTCTGGACTCGCCTAAAAGGTCAGAAAAATGTCCCACTGCCAGCCAATTAAGCCGGGAGAAGTTCTATGCTCAATGTTGGCATACTTTTAATAATGCCATACGAGAAACTCCAGATAGCGTGTTCTGGATATGAAATGAATAGTCATGGACGAATAACCAAAACGGCCGGTTAACGCGGAAAGCATTATTTGGTCCCAGTGATGAGATGTTAGAGTCAGTCAGTAAGAAAAAATAATAAGCCATGGTTGACGTATGGAATAACTAAGATCAACGCACCAGTTCTAATTACTAAATTGACCAAAATATGAAACATGACAAGGAGTGGTGAAGCAGTGACAGTGATTCAGTCAGATAGTAAACCATTAAAGTCCACGTTCAGTACATATAACAATACAATCCACATGAATATCCAGTTTCTGAACTGCCTCTGGAAAAACTGAGTGACATGACAGGGCTCATCGCACACACTTGTTAGCCGAACATCTGCAAAGAAGGTGAAAGCCGTTCAAGTCGATACTGAGCTACGATCGCGTAACAACGGAGTGTAGATGTGGGGAATAGTCACAATGCTTAAGGATGAGTGTAAGCAGGAACGAACGAGTGGACTTGAATGTGCATATGTATAACAAATAGGGAAAGGGTTGTGGCACAAATAGGCCAACATTCGAAGAAGGAAACGCTGTAGGTATGAACTGATCACTAGTTTAGATGCGGGTCGAGTAAGATCGGTCATTTCCCTTTCTCATCTAGCACAAGTATCCCAACACGTACGACCCAACATCAAAATAGAAGTTTAAAAGATTACGAAAAGCCGCATCCATGCTATGGATCTGGAGTCGACATGGCTTCGAAGCATTATACCATTTTCATGGTAATAAGAACTCGGACGTCTAACAGAACGTTCGGACAGTTTTTCTTGAGATTTTAAATCCGTATTTTCGAAATCGATAGTCAACCGCACTTTTCATCCGAAAGAAGCCTCTAAAGGCTATCCTAATTTCATCAGGAGCCACCAATTAGTTGACATGTGATGACACGCGTAGCTATTGACAATAATCATGCAATGTAAACCGTACAAGACGATTTTGTTCAGACATGTTAATCAGAATATTTTTTTTCGGGCTGGAAATCAAACCCGATACACCGATACACCCGATACACTTAAAGGCAGCAAAGCACCTACGACAAGGTAGATCCTTGTACGGCCGATCGTGCCCGAGTAACTGATCATCTCTGAGGGCTCCATGAATCCCAGACCGACTACGCTTTATCGTATCTTGTTTTTTTCGGCTGGAAATCAAACCCGATACACCGATACACCCGATACACTTAAAGGCAGCAAAGCACCTACGACAAGGTAGATCCTTGTACGGCCGATCGTGCCCGAGTAACTGATCATCTCTGAGGGCTCCATGAATCCCAGACCGACTACGCTTTATCGTATCTTGCCAAACTATTCAATTCAGCTGAGATCATTGTACCGTCTCCATGTGAGTGTGACCGAGAGTAAGTAGGTTCAATATCGCAACTAGGGTATGTGCCACCCAGTACCAGAGGGTGGATGAGGTGTTTTCACCAGTCAAAGGGCGCTATAGCCTTGTGTGTTGGTTGTCTGTCCGGGTGAATTGGCTCAAACAGGATTCCAAACATAAATTGCTCTGATGGATTGGGTGGTCGAGTACTCTTAGAGTGTGACGGTGATGATGGCGTTGCTGGCCATCCGTTCGCTGCAGTTTTTCCTCTTGTCCGACTTAGACAACAACGGAGTTGCGATTGGGGCAAGCAACCTTCCTAATAATGCACTAATTGCTTGGATCCAGTATCCTTAGTAGCTCGTTTCAAAGGGCCCCCGTGAGCCTGTCTGTGATAGCTGTTTGCGCCCCCACATCCTTATCGGACCCTACGGTGAAAACGGAGTCCTACAAACAATTACAATGGGTGTTCAACAAGACCTTAAAACTATACGTCTTAATTGTAACGGATAACTGGGATAATCGAGCTGGTGAACCAGATGACATGTGCTACATACTTGGCCGGTTCGGGTTGCATCAGCGGTGTGAAAACGGTGAAAAACTCGTTCGTCCGCCCAAACTCGGGACCTCAAGACCAGTCCGATCTCAATACCGTCTCAACTGCAAAGAGTCAAATCAACTGGAGATCGTTGCCATCACCGGAACAGAAAAGTCCCCAGAGTAAAGAACAGATTTCTGTTGAGGTAAACAAATTCTTCATCTGTGCACTTCCCGGAATACTCCACAGACAGGAGCGGTCGAGATGCTGTTCAGCTCAAACCTGAACCTTCCAGTCAATAAGTTCACGCGCTAACCACAAAGCGATCTCAAACTCAGTACAGTTCAGTCGTATTGAGCTCCCATAAGTAAGTGTGACACAATGCGATAAGAGTACAGTCACAAGTTTATCATGAAAGGAACGTCCTTAACTCACCTTATACCGGAGGAGTAGATTCTGATCTTCACATTCTGGTTGTAACAGGGAAGCTCTATTAACATATGTCTCTGCATCGGAGATCTGTTGGAGCTTCAAGTAATACTCAGCTATTCGAAGATATATATCCATTTTGAACGTGACGGCGTATGTGCTGGAGAGAATCCGCAGCGCAAAGAACAAACAGATGAGAACGTGAGAAAACCGTGAGTATATGCGTGAATATATATCAGCAACATTAATAACTCTGCCGTGTTTTATGAAAAACGTGTCACACTCAAGGTGGCCCGTGCACTCGGATATATCAATCGAGTATCATCACAGTATTGTAGAAGATTTGTCTTCATTTTGGCATTGTGTCGAAATCAGTCGTGTGCTAAAAATTGGGGAAGTTGCCAATCATCCACATGTAGCACGAGACTGGAATGAACACCTGAATCCCCCCCTCGGGAATCGTGAGATGCATCCTAGTGATAATTTTTAAATTGGTTCTCAAATCGCCCAAATTCGAACTATACTTGCTTCTGTGTGGACTGCTGGTACCGCGCAGAGGACATCTGCCAAAAATTTTTTACAAAATCATTCACAGTAAAGATGTCACGGAAACTTCTAATGGTACGGCAAAGAATTGAGCAGATCGATATATTGAAACCACCTAATCATTCATAAATCGATAGGAAACTTCCTGGGGACCTATGAAATGTATAAAAACAAATGAATGCCTCCAGGAATCCAATAAAGACTCTTGAAAAGTGGGAAAACCAGAAATTTTATTCACTTCCCACAAATAACCAATAACACTTCCTTCCTTCAACTGGATACCGATGGTGCTACAAAGTCCAACACAGTATAGAATTGGAACGAATGAGATGATAGTATACACCGATTCAACAAAATACCCATGATTGCTTCTTTATTCCATACGGGGAAAAACACTAGGCAAAACACAACGATCAGTTTGTAGTATCAACCTGTCTAGTTGCTTTGTTGTGATCACCGACATTCCGACTCATAAGACGTTGCACGAAAAAGCTACATAGCCCTTAGCTGACGACCATAATTCTGTTAACCACTTCGTAATTCCAGTTCAAACTGTTGCTTCAAATGAAACGGGATAATTCTGAACAATAGGCTGAGTTAATTTCCAGTTTATTTTCCCAAAACTCCGCGAATGTTCTGTTTCAAACTCTGGCAAAAGGACTTGAATGCTACCTATCTTATTTTTGTCCAAATTCAGTTTCCCCAAGTCTTCCATGATTCCATCAGTTTTATTACCTGTAACATCTTTGCACATGTAGGTTCAGTCACGCAAGCAGATAAAATACCTATCTAGTATGTGTTATCCAATACTCACCTACATGAAAACTTGCATTTTCACCATCATAATGAAAACCAAACAAACTGTACTGGAAAAGTAATACCTAAATGGACGAGATGGATCAGTGGTTAGGGCGCGAATTTACTGACAGGAAGGTCCGTGATTCGAAACCAACCTCTGCATCTCAATTTCCCCTGGGTTTCCCAACCATCTTGCTTCCTTCGGGTGGCATGGCTACTACGCACCGAAAGGGTGTTACAGCTGAACGATTGCTTCATTGGCCCCAGCAACTTAAATTGACCTCCGTAAGTAGTGGCGTGCTGTTCGGAAAAAGTTCCGGAGAGTTTGCGTGCATCATTCTAAAAAAACAATTTTATACCTCGTGAAATGACTTTGCGCATAAAATTGAGATTACATATAACTGAGCCTTCACAGTTGGCTGCGAACTTCATATCATGACTGGAAAACTATCCGAAGACCCCAATAACTGTATAAGGATTGCTTTGCTGATGTTTTGAACGCAGCGTTCTAAGGAAACCAAAAAACCGGGTCGTTCCACGCATACCACTCGTACTATCTCATCATCATCATCATCATCAGCTGTAAGAACCACGTACTTGTAGTATATAGCGATTGTAGCTGCCATAATTTCGTCCATCGATGATTTGGGGAGGTAGGGGAGTAGCTGCGCATTGCATGTGGGAGCTGATAAATTGGTGCGCAAAGACAAGGTTGTCAGTGATTGAGGAGATTGGGAAGGAAGGTAATGCTCCGAAGACACCGATGGTCAAAGACTGGGACTTTTGACTTCCTCAAGATGCAGCAGCCAAATTTCTGACCCCTTTGATAATATGGAGCACACCGCGAAATTGTAAGCTCGACCCTTGGCGGACAAGTTGATGTCACGTCTACACCACACGTGATACATGTCCACGAAAACCGCCGCGGTCTCCTCAATCCGGAAGGAAATGTCATCTTTCGCGAGACCACCGAGACCGACACAGCTGCCCAAATATAAAAGTTTGTCTCATCCGCAAGCATGGGCCCACTGAGCCATGAGACAGCACTTTGCACTTTGCAGGTGAGAGACGCATGCCAAACCGTGACGACGAATTATTTGGTTTAATTTTGTGTGCATTGCCACGGCGTCAGATTCGATGAGAGCTATTTCGTATGGATACTCGATACATGTGGACGAATGCCTCACAAGCATCAGAGGCTGGTAGTGGGTCGTTCGTGATCGATTCAATGATGAAGTTGAGGAGAAATGGTAAAGAGGACAACCTTGCCTGACACCTGATGTGGTGGACTCAGATGAGAACATCCTGTAGAACTTCACACGTCCGCTGGAGTTGGCGTACAACGTCCTAAGAAGAGTCAAGAATTTATGGGGGACACCTTTGCTTCACGGACACTGCCCTGGTGCCTGACGGTCCATTGAGTCAGACGTAGTTTTTAAGTCCAGGGGCACAACCAGTGTTGGTCGCTGGAGGCAAAGTCGTTGTCCCAGAATCTGTCGGAGGGTGAAAATGTGATCGATTAATCCTTATACAGGACGGAATCTACCTTGATCTTCACAGATCTGTCCTATACTGTCTTGTAGTATATAGCGATTGTAGCTGCCATAATTTCGTCCATCGATGATTTGGGGAGGTAGGGGAGTAGCTGCGCATTGCATGTGGGAGCTGATAAATTGGTGCGCAAATACAAGGTTGTCAGTGGAGTTATGATTGAGGAGATTGGGAAGGAAGGTAATGCTCCGAAGACACCGATGGTCAAAGACTGGGACTTTTGACTTCCTCAAGATGCAGCAGCCAAATTTCTGACCCCTTTGATAATATGGAGCACACCGCGAAATTGTAAGCTCGACCCTTGGCGGACAAGTTGATGTCACGTCTACACCACACGTGATACATGTCCACGAAAACCGCCGCGGTCTCCTCAATCCGGAAGGAAATGTCATCTTTCGCGAGACCACCGAGACCGACACAGCTGCCCAAATATAAAAGTTTGTCTCATCCGCAAGCATGGGCCCACTGAGCCATGAGACAGCACTTTGCACTTTGCAGGTGAGAGACGCATGCCAAACCGTGACGACGAATTATTTAGTTTAATTTTGTGTGCATTGCCACGGCGTCAGATTCGATGAGAGCTATTTCGTATGGATACTCGATACATGTGGACGAATGCCTCACAAGCATCAGAGGCTGGTAGTGGGTCGTTCGTGATCGATTCAATGATGAAGTTGAGGAGAAATGGTAAAGAGGACAACCTTGCCTGACACCTGATGTGGTGGACTCAGATGAGAACATCCTGTAGAACTTCACACGTCCGCTGGAGTTGGCGTACAACGTCCTAAGAAGAGTCAAGAATTTATGGGGGACACCTTTGCTTCACGGACACTGCCCTGGTGCCTGACGGTCCATTGAGTCAGACGTAGTTTTTAAGTCCAGGGGCACAACCAGTGTTGGTCGCTGGAGGCAAAGTCGTTGTCCCAGAATCTGTCGGAGGGTGAAAATGTGATCGATTAATCCTTATACAGGACGGAATCTACCTTGATCTTCACAGATCTGTCCTATACTGTGTTCAGTCAACCTTTCAAGGATAAGATCAGAGAGCTAATTCGATGTCACAGCTACAAGCCTGAAGACAGCAATTTTCGCACAGCATCCACATACCCTTTTTGAGGATAGGGATAACTGTCAACATATCCCATTTTACAGGTACTTTTTTTCGCTCTATGTCGCACTAATGAGCTTTGTTAGACGAGTCACCAGGGATTCTCCGCCTACTTTGAATAGGACTGGATACAAACCGTCTAGTTCTGGTGCCCTCTCACGCCCCAGTACGGATACTTGGTACTTTATTTTCTTTCCAACGGGCGATTAAGGTTCACATTCCATTTGCTCATGTGCGCTATCTCCGGAGGCTGTGTTGCAAGAGGCCAGCTAAACTGTTTTCTGAAATGTTTGGCCCATCTTTCAAGTTGACGTGTTTGCGAGTGAATCGTTGAGACATCTATTTCACTTATCTTTTCGCTGACCGTTGCTTTTCTAGGGCCAGTCGATCGTATCAGTTGACATAGGGGACGGATGCTTCCGGTAGCAAAAGACTTCACTAGCTCCTGAGCTTTCGATGTCCGCAGAAGCTCTCGCTCTTTCCTAAGGCTCTTCGCTATTTGGCGCTGTCGCACTCGTTGCCTGCTGGTATGGATATCCTGACATCAACCGAGACTAGCAATCCCGCTATATGCAACGGTTATTTGATTGCATCGGAGAACTCGGAGACATCGCACAGACAGCACTGAAGGCCGCTAGCATATCTTCTTTCAAATTTCGCCATGGTTCATCCACATGCTTGCTACCAGCACCGTATTTAGTTTACCGTCGAAAGTTGAGCTAGCCATGGCAGTTCTTCCAAGACGGTGGACTGGCATGTTTTTTGCTGACTTGCGAAGGCCTGAAGGTGAACGAACTGTCAAGCGTGCAGGCACCATGGCGTGATCGGAATCATTTTGTGTGCTCAGGAAAGAATTGTAGCTTTCCATCGGTGGCTGATGGCCACGTGATACAACTGGGTCCACGACTGATTTTCCGTTGGTGGTCGCCAGGTTACAAGATGCAAACGTTTATGCTACAGGTTCGTACTGGCCAAAATCAGTTCATGATAAACACACAAATGGAAAAGTCGTTCTCGGTTTTCCGGGTGACAAACATCGACTTCGATTCGACCGCCCAAATTTGATTCCAAGGAGCTCAGAAAACCGAATTGGGTATTCATATCGCCCGCAAGGATCACGATATCAGTGCTTTTTGCTCGACGAATAACGCCGGATAACTCAAGATAGGAAGTACGCTTCTCAGCGTCAGAACTGCAGTTCGTTGGATCATAAGCCGACACTACAAATGGGAACCGCTTTTATGTCGAAGCATTGAGCTGGATAAAAGGGCGCAAATATGAGTGTTCACTGGGATGCAATCCAGCAAAGCGCGTTCAGCTCTGAGGTAGAGTGCAACTCCCACATCATATTTTCTGCGAGTCATCATTTGTGAATCAGCGGACACATGGCGGGAGAAATGTGAAAGAACTGAGTTTGTCCTTGGCGTTCTGATATGCATAGCCACGCTGGTCTTGTGTGCGCGTTCCGTGGACAAAGTGTACATTAATTTTAATGGGGTGTAAGGTTTCAGCGAGCACTGCCTGTTTGCCAATCGACACATAGCAGGGAAGTTAACGGTAGAAAAATCTCGTAGATTCAGCAAGGTGTTAGGCAGCGGGGTGTGTAAGACTCATCGATCAGACAAGTGGTAGTCAAATGACCCAGCAACGCTTGCTTGTTTGGTGCGAAGGGTGGAGAAACATCGCCGGACGAAGAACTGTGCGAGGAAATGATAATTCCCGGTTGCTAAGGCCAGGGAGGGGATTTGGTTGAGGTACTCCACCTTGAGCCTTTGACTCAAAAGTCCGACCCACAATGCAGTGGGTTTTTTTCGGTGACCCTGTCACTATCCCCTGACCCAAAAGTCCGACCAGCGAGGCAGCGATCAGTAAGGTTTTCCTTGGGGAACCTTCACGAAGTCAATGACTTAATAGTCTAACCTGTTCGGCTGCTGGGGGTGGCTTAGCCCTAGGACACAGTGAGTGGGGTTTTACTGTCTCAATCCTGATGCAGCTGCGCACAGCAGGTGCCCTTTGAATTATTTCGACCATATTGAATAATGCACCGGTGGTCACGGCCAACTCTTGGGCGACCGGGGTGTGCGGTTTTCAGGGCCGATTGTTTCTAACCTATCCTTCCGCGGCGAAAGGCAGAATCTTTACTCCCATAAATGTGGACATTCCAATCGCCTAGGGGGAATAATTTACCGCTTTCACACTCCTATCGCTGAGGACAGTATGACTGCCCCCAGACCGCCTCGTAGCACGGTTACTCGTAGTACGAGGTCTCGCTGCTCTTGGTTCCCCGTTGGCCTTCCTGGCATGGTTGCACCTTGTGAAACGAAGTTACCATCAGTTTAGCCGCGGTATCATTGCACCATTCAGGCCCGACCCTCACATCAAAATGTCATTTTAGGTCTGCATCTACTATCTAGTTTTGGAGCAGTGTAGAAGTCTGATTGAGGACCTCCTATCACGTCGAAGTGTGACGTACATAAAAAGCATCTCAAAAATGTGCTCCATCCTCAAGTTAGTTCCAAAATTTTGGCGGAACGTTGAACGCATGTCTGCTCTTTTCTGTCTAATAAGCAATAGCAACCACTCTAGAGAATACCAAGGTGTGGGTCACGTTGTTATCATATGTCTAGTAGGTGTTCGGTTTTCGCGCAAGGGCTTGTCACATTACGCTTCTTCTGGTGAAATTTAGTCTCTTTCTCCAATACGACTGAATTTCAAAGGTTAGCTATTCTAAAAAGAGAACTCCCGAAGCTCTGAAAGCGACATAAACACTACGAGAAGCTAAGAAACATAATTAAGACAACACGAGAACAATGGGAAATCTAACGCAGAAACAGTTACAGAAAGGCTACAAATACCATTCTGTCCAGCTGCAATTCACCTTAGAAATGGTGGGACATCGGGCTCTGAATACTGGACGTGAACGCTTCTCCCATTGGGGCTATCAAATTCAAAGTGGTTGGCATGTCTTCTCTGTTCTCAGGACCACCTTCAGGGTTCCGAAAACCAAATCTGTTCTTCAGCTGCCAGAAGAATTTTGGAGAGACTTTTGAATACGATGTGGCCGGCACTAACATGACTAACACGTGAGCACAGCATGACTCGCCTCTGTCTATTGCCTAGGCTGGCTACACGTGGCTATACGGCAGTTCTGTGACGTCCCCTGGGTTCCTGGTACATCCCTTAGAGCAGATACTAAGGCGAATGCCACTCCAAAAAGGTCGGATGTAACGAATAAACCTAGGGAATTAGAGAGACAACACACGAGTACGTTAGATGAAGCAAGTTAATTGTCATTTTGGTGCCCCCTAGTTCGCCCATAAAATAATCATATCTGTCCTGCGCACTCACTCCTGGTACTCGGTGCACAGCTGGGTGTAAAGATGCACAATGGACCATATAGACACCAGTGTGGAAGTCACTTAAGTGCGGAACAAAATGAGTCAACAACCAAACGGAAAACTGGACCAATGTGAATCGCCTGTTTCCGTTTGTTAAAAGGCGAACGTAACACCTGTTACCTTGATAGCCAAGATCCTCAAATAGGCTCATGCATGTGTGCACGGAGAATTCGGTACCCTGTGTGAGCATGACAACCAATGCTCACCTTTAGTTAAGGGGCACAACCCAGATGGCAATTTTATGCTCCAGGGGTCAACCTCAATCGGGTCGTGCCCAAGTACCTGGTAGAAATGTTTGCTAAAAAGTCAAAACATCTGCAAGAATATATGGAGGCGTAATAGGGCCTCTTAATCTGAACTGAGCTTTTAGGAACACAGAACTATAACAAACACATCAAAAAATGGAAATTGTGAAAACGTACCGCTGTCCACTTTCGAGTGGAATTTCGGCCAAGACGCTCGCAGCTTCACCCAGACAACCTGTCGCTTCTAGCCTGCGAGAAAGTTGGTTTCTAAGTTCCACAATCTATTAAAGATGTAGGAACAAATGGGCTGTACGGGAGAGGTCATTCAAACCTGCGATTCAAAGGCTATATTTCTTGATTGCATGCGGTTCAATATTGTTTGAAATGCTGCAATAGCCAACTGATCATCGGCGACATCTCTCACACAATTAATCAATTCATCACAAAACTTCTTGGTCGATATCACCGTAACGCTCTCCTGAGAAACTGTAAATGTAAATAAACACCAACCCAATACCACACTCACTTTCGACAACAATATGGTTGATATGTTGTAGAAACTCATCCCCTGTGCACTGAGAGATGATCTGAAGTAGGTTCACAAATCTACATTTATGATAAGCCGAAATTAATTACTTGTCGTTGGCTTCTTTAGGAATTTTACAGCTGATCACCTCACCAAGAGTAGCCGTAATATCACGGGACATGGTAAGATTCAAGACTGTAAACGTATTGATGAGCAAACGAAATAAATTAGTTAACTGATTTGTAACTGTTACAGAAAATATTTACTCGTGTAAATAAACTAGTAATCCAAATGAAACACCAAATCTCATCACCTGAACATCTGTAATCGAAAAATCCCCCCACGCAACTGAGTGTAATTCTGTGTACTCTGTATAATTCACTTGGATTCAGATAACTACGTATGTTCATTTAAAGCCACGCTTCTGGTTTGGATTATGATCAAGATAAAGCAAGCCCAGGACATGTCAGAATCACGTTTGCTAATTTATGCCACTTATGACGTCAAAGCGGTATATCACTGGATCTCAAAGGTTGCGTGCACAATCTTGCAGTAAGAGCTATGTTATTACACAGTTGCGAAATATTGCCCTGCAGACAGATGATGTGAGGCGGTCTTCCGGTTTTGACCACCGATGCCCCAGGAGCGTTACTGGTATCGTATTCTATCAACGAACTCGTAACGATGTGATTGTTGGCAGTGTTGTGCAGTAGGTATTTCAATCACCGTCAACTACGGTGGCTCGGTCATGTGCTTCGCAAAGCAAAACACCATCTATCGATACGAGTGTGCCTCCTTCAGAATGGAAAAACCGCGAAGTGGACAATGTATGACTTGCCAGAAGTGTCAAAGAGAGTATGAAGAGCTTGGGTGTCGTTGGTGCAGTGTGTCTTCCAGGATGCGATACCCGTGACCCATCCTGCAACCAGCTGAAAAAATTGCAGAAAATGGCTGCTGATCAGTGTCAATGGAGTGTGTGTTGCCAGTTTCTTTCCAGATCGTCTGACTGAGCGCTTGGGGTATAGGCACCTCAGAATGCTTGTGATAGGCCATCACCAGGTCCTCTCCTTAAATTACTGTTTCATTTTCATTCTATGGCTTTAAGTATGACTAGATAAAGTTTGTGGTTGTGCGGCAGTGAAGCATCGGTGTTAACACTGATGTTGCTGTATCTGATGATGACGATGATGCGCTTCCTGCTCTCTTCAGAAATGGGAACAATATCGTCTGCAGACTTCAGGTCGACAAGGTTCTTGCTCAGTGAGTTCTGAATACCGGGGTTTTAGGGACCTTTCAATAATGAAAGCAAACAAAAATGGAGACCAGACATCCTTGTCAGATAGCACTGCTTGCAGGAAAGCTTTTGGAGAGCTCCCATATACTACCACGCGTCCACAATTATGTGAACACAAACAGCACATGATATTCATGAATTTCTTTGTTACGTAAACGTGTTGAGAGGAACCCATCGGTTGACAGAACCGAACACACTCTTAAAGTCAAGGAACACGAAGACTGTGAGGCACCTATACGCATGTCATTGCTTAACACTAGAGGTGTAAGATGTGGTACAGTTTTCCCGGATGGAATCCTTCTTGCTGTTCGCAGATCTCCTCTTCACTCACCTCCGTAAGACGACGCAAAATAAGCGACGCAGAGTCTACTCCCAAAGGAAAGCAGGTTAATACTTTTGTGAGGACTAGATCAATGCGTCCATAACCTGGACAGGTTCCGGTTTAATTTTCATGAATTTTCTGTACTACAGCGCTGTCCAGGCTTCGCAGGGTGTCTACGAGAAGTTCTGAGGTAAGCAGGATAAACCTTCTACTGTGCTATGGTAACTTTTTTGAAAAAAGAACGATGACTGAAATGTGCAGTCTTCAGGGATGTGCCGCTCTTTCTGTGTGTAGTAAACGAAGCATGCACGATCCAGCCTCCACTATCCCTGAACACGACCGATAGGAGAGAATTCGGACAGAGCGTTGATGTCCGTAACGTGCTGGAGCAGAAAGCAAAGTGAACTGACTTTCAAAATTGTAGAAGGCACTTCCGTGAATGGATAACAGACCCACTGTTCTCTTGGATGACTTCGCTTACCGTTAAAGTGAGCTTCGGACTGAATTAGAGCCGGGGTACTTTCAATAGCAGTAGCCCCTTCTACTACCTGAGCTTTTATCATCCATCATCTCTCGTGGTCGGCTTTCAGGATAAGCCGCCCTTGTCGGTCTTCGTGGAGCGTCAAACTAGTGGGATGTATTCTTTTTTCAAGAGAAAAACGAGGCACTCGGATATCCACTAACAATTCCGTCAGGAGGGGGTTCCATAACATGCAGGCTGAAATGATCGCATCCATGGAAACCCGACGCTTTTTTAATTCATTTGTTTTTTTTCGGCAAAACTGCTGTAGAGAGCAGTTTGAACGACGACGTGTCAAACCAGGCGGCAGGATCATTTAGGTTTTCAACGATCTAAACCAAAGAGAGCAATATCGTCCGTATACTCAGCGGCTGTGAACGAAATTCTCAGGAGTATTTCGACCCACTAGGTTTCAGAGGCGAGCTAACAGATTCCAAGTGCCACATCGCTAACATAGTTGGAGAAGGAAGGCGAAAGAGGACACACTTGACCTACATCAGTGTACGTAGTGAACTCAGGTGAAAGCTTGCCGTATGCTCGTGCCCATCCACAGGAGTTCGCATACAGTGCCCCTATAAGAGATATAAATTTGGAAGGGACACCCTTGATCGCCAGACACCGCCAAAGTTTCTGACGATCGACAGAGTTAGAAACAGCTTGCAGATAAAGGAAAACGACCAACGTGGAACGTTTGAAAAAGTGCTACTGCTTGAGGAGTTGTCAACCCGTCCTCGGTCAGAGCAAAATCCAGCTTAATTCTCACGAATTTGTATCTCCCGATAATCGAACAACCTGCGCAAAATAATGCCAGAGAGCACCATAGGCGGGCCGGATGCCAGGCTGCTGCCACGATGACCTTCGCATGACGTTCTTGTGCCTCCTTTCAAAACTGGGATGAGGGTCGTGAAGCTCCGCTACACTGTTTCCATCCCAAATCTACAGTATGGTCATCAGCATGACCTCATCACCTTCTTCGAAAGGTGCATAGTGCAGACCACCCAGGCCAGATGCCTTGCCACGTCAGATTATTGATATCTCCCGCCGGGTTTATGCTGCTGACAGGACTGATGTTGACGTCCCATTCAGGCCCGGTGGGTCCTTCCAGCCGTGGTCTTGAAGAAGACCAGCTGCACTGTTAATTGAAGCGTTCAACCCATTGCTCAAAAGGACTGTTTTGTGAATGAGCTGCCGTTCCGTCTTTTCGCACGTCGTTTTCCTGATATTTATCTTTCCTTGGCGGAGTGATCGAGTCAGCCGAAATAGGGCGCCTTCTCCATATCCTTCTCCGTCATTCTTCAATCTCCCGATCATTCTGCGTTTGAGTAACACGCGCGCGTTATCGCAGTCAGTCGATGCTGGTATGATCTTTCTGGAAGCAATAACAGCCGCTGATTTCGACGATATTCACTGTTCGTTTAGTCGAGTCGGATGGCTTGGATAGTTAGTTCTGAAAGCATAGCTTTTTTTACCCGCTCCCATCCGCACTCCAAACAATCTTCGTCAACCGCATGACTGTGCGTTCCTAATGCCTATCTAGCCCGATCAATTCGATAGTCCTCAGGTACAAAAACTTGTCGAATATGATCAACGGAGTTACTCTACTTTGGCATGCGTAATGCTGCTGGAAATCGAAATGATAGCCTGGACTGTAATGGTATGATCAAATCTAACCTGCATACACTAGAAAGAATGACGATCTTCAAATGAACCTCTCCGTCGGTAGCTTATAGCCACATGGTTGAGCTGGGTCCATGACTGTCTCACAGTTGATGGCCTCCAAGTAATCTGATGTGAGCGCTTGTGTTGGGAGTTTGTACTGGCACACAACTGAAACAGTCGCATCCCACAGTACGTACGCTAAGCACCGACTCCAAATGTACCACCCCATTAAGCTTCTTCCGGACTCAGACGTCCATATCGGGAATTCATGTTACGCACCAGAATTACTACATCCGTTTTTTTCTGATAACCGAAACAGTCACGAGGGCCATTGATATAACCTCACCTTCTCAGGCTTAGAACTGCAGCATGTAAGGTGCATGCTGACAGGACAAATGAACACCGTTCGCCGCATCAATCGGCACTTTTCTTAGTTGATGCGCGCAGCACAAACACGACTGTCCATCATAAAGTGCTTTCAGCCTTGGGACAGAGTGCAAATCCCACGCCGTAGATAACAAGTGCCCTTGTGTCAGTATCACCAGATGCACGAAGTTTGAAATGTGATACTTTTGAACTCATCCTAAACGACAAGATGCCTATTGGCCGATTTGACAAAGAGCATCGAAATTAAAGGCTGCTACGTACACCGAGTCTCTTGAGGTTGATAAATGATTATTTTGGTGTTTTGGTGGGCTATGGTTCAGATTAGGAACAATGGCTAGGAGACTGGCATATGAGAATGGAATAAGAAGATATTACGAGGATAGATAGAAAATGATTTAGGTACGTGATTGTCTTCAAACATGTCCTTCTCACCTCACCATGAAAAATCGGTTCAAAAGGCATTCACCATTCTGCGGATGAATCGGCGCACTGTTGGGGATATCAATATCCCCGAAATCGGTATTTTTGTATGTGCATGCCATCTTTTCCCATCATCGCCTGCTGACCGCGTGTTGTTTGAGCATTAAAGTTTGTTTTTTCATCTTCTTACTATCCACCGTGCTGGGAGTCTGAATCAAGCTGGGGATAGAATATTGTCACAGTTGTTTGCTCGCTGCGTGATCGAACCGTAACACCTCCGTATTTCTCACATGGACTTCCATATATTCAATGTCGCCTATGGCAACCGCTCTTTCAATATGCCACTCAGCTTGTATTTAGGAAGGAAGAAAGGCGTAAGCCTCATTAGGCATGTTCAACGAGCTGTTACGAAAATGGTTGTTGGTCTTAAATCCGTGGGTTATGAAACGCATCTCGCAGTGGCTGACCTCTTTTCCATGGAAGTCCGTAAACCCTGAGGAGACTTAATAATCACTTACAGCCTGTTCGAACAAGGTTTGGACATGTTTTTCATCGTTAACCTTATTGACTTATTGCGGTGACATGGTAGGATT